CCTATGACTGTCAGCCCTGAGCCGCAAAAACCCTTAAAAAAGGGACGTCGACAAGAAATGAAACGTCGCAATTTTAGGCCACAAAAACGATATCCCCTCTACTTTTTCACCCCAAAAATGTAATAAAGTCTGCCCCCGTACGATCTGTGCCGGGCCTTGATTCTCTCCTAACCCATACCTGACAAAATACCAAACCCAAATGGGAACCAGCCTCTCCTCTCCTTACCTGCTGTTCAGCAACATCTTCCAATGCAGCAGCTCCAACTTTCGCTAGCTTATCACGTTTTACATTACCAGCCGAAACCAACACGTATTTTAGGGCACGCAAACCGAAATCGTAGTGACATTGTGCCGACAGCTGTTCCTTGCACAGGCTATAATAAAAAAATCAGCATGGAAGAAATAATCTAAAGGGATTCCTCACATGAAAAGAGGCACAATCTTATTGGCGAGTGTCTCAGCAGTTCGGAAACCTTGTGAGAATAGCATAACTTGCGCGATCAGCTGTCTGTCAGGTTGTGTCATAGCCAAACTTCGGAACAGCTAAACATGCTAACTTCAAAAAAAGATCAAGAATTACTTTGAGATACGTACCTGCTTCAAGTTATCAGGTAGGTTAGATCTTCCAGAGTAGCCAGGATTCATGGTAATGAAGATACCAATGTTAGGATTCACATTCAAGCGCTTTCCAACGAGATCCACCGTCATTTCACCACCTGCTCGTACGGCTTCCTATAAATAACATGCGAATGATGAATTTGAGTTTGCATTTCTGATTTTTTTTTTGATTTTTTGTAATTTTTTGAATTTTTCGAATTTCAGTCATCGTCTCATAAACTTGTCCTTTACCTGAATCGTCTGAATCTGCTGCGAAACAGCTGACAACATGCGTTCCTCCAGACGGTTGAACTCATCGAAGCAACCCCAAGCACCGACTTGGCACAAGCCTACCAAGATACGACCCATGGCCTAGGTAATAAGAATTTAATCAAATACAAACGGAGTTGGTAAAATACCTGGAAATCAAAGGTTTCGTCACAGTTGAAGACCAGTACAAATCTTCCCAGCTGGTTACCCAGGGCTTTCACTGACTCAGTTTTACCCGTACCAGCAGGACCGAATGGCGAACCTCCCAACCTGTAACACGGGTTATGCGCGGATGCATAAAATTATGCGCAAAAAGCATATACTGCCCGCGAAAACTACCGTGGTCGTATTCATGAACGTTACCCAGTGGTAAGCTTATCCGCTGGGTAGGCTTTACCCACAACGGTATTCACGAAGCTGCTGGGTAAGCGGACTCAGCAG